TTTCTTCTATCGATGTCGATGTCATGAACATGTGAGCTTGTTGAATCTGTTGCACCGTATCCCGGAGGCCCGGAGGAGTTAAGCCAAAGTGGATGCCATAAGAGATGCCCGAGAGGTGTCCCAGAGGCGTCCGAGGGGGGAGTTGAACCCACGGGGGGGGGGGGGGCCCCCCCCCCTACATATGAAGTTTTCACGTGATGCGGCGATCCCGAGGATTCCAGCCCCTCACTTGCTAAAGCAAGGACAACTCCAGCTAGCTGGTGCTAGCTTTCGTGACTTGGCCTCAAAAGTCCCGGCACTTCATCCTGAAGCCAGCCTTTTGGTGAGAGAAAACCATGGGGACATGCCCCATCTGGGGCGGAGAAGTCATTTTGTATGTCATCGTTATAAGGTATAGGTTTCTAATGACGCATTCCTCTTGAAGTGACCAAACACATTGGGACAATCCCAGCGGCGCATCGACGGCAATGACCTCAACACCCGTCCCCCAACACACGAACACACACACCAACAAGGCAGTGCCGGCACGGCCGAACTCATCGGCGAAACCCTCAGTGCCCAGGTCATCGGTGGACCGCCCCTGCCTGGTCAGCCTTCGCAGCCTTGGTCGCCCGTTGGGCGCGGTTGTGGTTGGGCGTGGGCTGCGAGATGACCTGTGGCGGAGGGTGTGGCGATTCGAAGAAGAACCAATTCTTCAACACCCTCACGACGTTGACATAGTGATACTAGAGTGACCAGTTGAAGGGGAGGTTGACATCCCCGGGGTCAATCATGACCAGTTTCTCACATAGAACAGGTTAGGTAACATATTACCTTCTTGTTTACCAAAGAGTATTGCATCTGTATTAAATTATCATTATCAAACATAAGGCATAAGGGTACTGATTTGTTGATTGGCCCAGTAGCCCAGTGCAGGTTCACGCGGCGATTCACGTTGGTGCGCCCAAACCGCTATATGTGCACCTTTGCAGTCGGGCCACCTACTGACCAGACACGACATGTTGTCCATTCTAGGAACAACCAAAATTGCAAAACTTGTTTGATTTGACACCTACACTGACACTTTTATTTTTCAGAAAAATGGAACAGTGAGATGTCGACAACACGAATAGGGTATGGACAAAGTGACTGAAAACAAAAACATGTTCGTGGCTCTTCCAATACAAACCAGCCCATATGGTTTCCAGGTCCCATCAAATTCCAAGTCGGTTTGGATTGGTTTTGGTTTGCCCATCGCCACGGCCCAATCTTGGTGCGCCTTCTGGATGGATTGCATGAAAGCGTTTCCCTTCTTCCCCTGCCCGGAGCGCTACATTCAGGCCATTTAGCTGTCCCGGTCACAAGGTCATCCGTCCTGCAAGTGGACCACAGCAGGTTCAAGCAACCACCACATCGCGTCAACCCACGTCCACGTCCGCCCACAAACCCTCTGCCTAACACTCAGTGGAAAACCCCGAAGAATCTGCGGCGAATCCCCTACAATGGACACACATGGCAAGCACACCATGGAACTCCAAACTCGACATGGAACTGCAAACTTTGTTTCTTCGCATAAAGCCCTGCAAACATGGATTGTAAAACCTCTTTGTGGAGGTACGGGGGGGTTGAACAAGTTCCTGGCGGCTGGCGATCGTCTATCTGTTGCAAGTTCTCATATAGATCATCCCGTTGGATCGCCATCTTCCAGCTGCAGAACTTTGCCGCCTGTGGCCGGGAGTTGCTCCAGCCCTGCGCGCCCTGGAGCTGAGAGAAGGGAACGACGCACGTGACCGGTTGCACGACTCGAAACCATCTCAGCCCGTGGGAACAAATCATCCACGTTTGGCAAAAACTTGAGATAGGACGGGGTGAACGAAAGGTAGCAAATGGGCGAGAGGGGAAAGGAGAGAGGATCGCAGGGGGGGGAAGTCCAAGTCTTGAGAGGCACGAGCGCTTCTGACTGAATTCGGCATTGCACGTGGTTTGGCGGTGGCTCATGTCAACCTGTGACCTTCCATGCGATTCCCAAAGAAACAGACCGACCGGAGGCTGCAGGTCATACCCAAATTAATCCTAAAGAAGCGAAGCCCTCAGCCCCAGCAAGACAAGCCCAAAGAAACCCTAAAGAAGCGAAGCCCTCAGCCAAGCCTAAAAGTTAGCCCTGAACAGCCCGCCACGCTCCGTCCAAACCAACCCAAAGAAACCCTAAAGAAGTGAAGCGCTAAGCCGGGCCTGCAGAAACAATAAAGAAGTGAGACCCGCAAAATCGCGCAAACCCAGCGAACCCAAGCAAAACAAACCCAAGGAAACCCTAAGTGGTGAGGCCCTACGCCAAAGAAGCCCTGAAGAACTCAAGCCCCCAGCCAAGCCTAAAGGAACCCGAAAGAAGTCAGACCCGAACACCCCACAGCCCACCCCAACAAACCCTAAAGAAAGAGACGGCCAGGAAAGAACCAGCCATACCCAAACAAATCCTGTAGAAGTGAAGCCCTCAGCCACAGAGAACCTTATAAAGTACACCCCGCAAGCCAAACCCAAAGAAACCCTAAAGAAGTCATGAAGGTAGTGAAGTTCGCAAGCCAAAGCCAAAGAAACGAAGTGAAGCCCTAAGCCAAGCCCAGAGAAACTCTGAACCCGCCTGCCGAGCCCCAAAGCCTAAAGTAGCAAGGTCCGGATGCCAAACCCAATGACGCAAAAAAACACAAAAGACATGAAACCCTGGAAGCCCAACCATAAGAACACCCGAAGAAGTGAAGCCCTAAGCCCACAAGCCAACGAAACCCTAAAGAAGTGAAGACCGAAGCCACAACTAGAGAAAAATTACAACGCGATACCCGAACATCCGGAACATCACCCACCTACTATAGTTTCAGATCGAATTCGAGTTCAAGTCCGAATTTGAGGCCTTCCAGGGTTGAGCTCTAACAGTTCCAGCTTGAGGCTGAATGCAAGTTCGAGGCTTCTATGCTTCCAGGGTTGAGCTCTGACTGTTCGAGTTCAAATTTGAGCTCGAATTCAAGTTCGAGCGGGGCACACTATGCCACTATGCCAAGAAACATGCTTGTCCAAACGTCTCAAGATTTGCAACCAAACCGCGACGGCGCAGGGGGGATTTAATCCAGGGAGGGGGAGGCCTGTCCGAGAGATGGACTGTTAGGAACTATGCGACAAATCCCTTTCAAACATAACAGCACGACCAGAACAAGAACAAGAACAAGAACAACAACAACACCAACAAGCAGGTCAACAACAACAAAATGAACAACAACAGCGGTAATCACAACAACAGTAGCAGGAACAAAACAGCAACACCAACATCAACAACAACCAGAACCGATGAACAACAAACAACAACAACAACAACAACAACAACAACCAACAACAACAACAACAACAACAACAACAACAACAAGCAGAACATAACAAACAGTAATCACAACAACAACAATATGAAGATGAACAACAACAACGACAATAGTTATCACAACAACAGCAAAAAAAACAATAACAGTAACGCCAACACCAACAACAACAAAAACACATACAGCAGCAACAACAACAAGAAGACAAACGCCAAGAACAAAAACACTGATAACACCAAGGCGAACTACTACAACAACAACAACAACAATAATCACAACAACGGCATGAAAACTGTTGTTGTTGTTGCTGTTAGTTCCTAACAGTCCATCTCTCGGGCCCCCCCTTGTCGAACAGAATCCCTTCTTGCAGGACCAAGCTCAATGCATAATCCCTAATACATTCTTCTTAAAACAAGGAGAACTCAGGTAGCTGAAGCTACCTTTCGTGACAAATACTCTAAACTTACACTGTCGAACCACAGGACAGTAGCCAACGACTGAAATGACAAAAGGGATGTCCTTGGATTTCCTGGTATATTTTTTCGGTTAGGGCAACGAGTTCGATGTGACCAAATAAGAAATTACTAAACAATTCCTGTACCAAACGCCAAGACGCCCTTTGTTTTGCGGCCACTACCTCTGTTCGATCAAAACCGGGATCATATTCCGGCGTCTGCAGAAGTGCTGGTCTGCAAATGCAAAATCGTATGGTAATACCTCGTCGGTATGATGAACCCATCATGTGCGGACATCATCACACTTGAACGTCGCCGTGCCTTCTTCCATGGATCGTGGCCGTCAACCCAAGGATCCTGCAGAGCAAGACACGTGCGGAAACCACCATGTAATCGTACAGCATGCATGGACTCAGCTGGCCACCTGCTCCTTTCAACTCGGTGTTGTTCCGCCGATATCGGATAGATCATGTCCTTTTTGCGGCCAGGTCCACTGGAGAATGGTAATGTTGACTTCCTGACTACACATGGACCGTGAATATTGTGAATGTTGAAAAGTAACCATTCAAAATGGACCCCCACATTATGCTAATCTGTTTCTGGACCCTGGAATTCAGCTGCTTCCAAACCTTGATTCATCCAAGTTGTTCCTTTCCTTTCATTTTCTTTCATTTCCTTTCCTTTCCTTTCATTGTCCTTTTCTTTCCTTTCATTTTTCAATTTGTTTCTGGATTTTTGCTGGACTTAGCTTGTATAGGGTCAGAACTTGGTCAAGGGGGTTATATGACTTCCACAATCAAGTGGTGCAGCTCTATATCGTGCGCATCCGAAGCCATGACGGTCCAAATCGTTTTGGTGGGCCCGTGCTGTTTGACTTGGGAGCTCTGCAACGTTCAACATCTTAAAGCATTTACCTGATGGCCTGTGTGACCTTAAACCACATGGATGATCCACCTCGCCCGGATCGCTGGAGCGACTGGTAGATCGCTGGAACAGGAACTCGGTGCTCCAAAGCGGCCCCCTAACGCCCTAAGCGAAATATGCGAATCCACTGAGTCTAAATAGGTCTAAATAGTAAGCAGGCCCCCAACCAATTGACTTGCTCTCTTTCCCTTTTGAGGATCGAGCTGGGAGGTCGACCTATTTATATACACACTCAGATGGCCTCCGGCAGCTCGTGCAAGCATTCCCTCCGAAGCACCAGCTAGTCCAACGCACTTTTCGGACAGAAAACCGAGCAGTCGCAGTCAGCTTCGTGAAATCTGCTCCAAAACTCGTGCAAATTCCTCAACGGTTTGGCAGTCGCGTGCTTGCTGCTCTGCTCATGTTCTTCACGGATTTCCTCACCTTCGCTGACAACTTCGTCGACGGACTTCTTTGTCGTTTGATCTGTGGTGACCGTCTGAGCCTGTGCTTCTGGCATTTGTCACACTGAAATGTAGTCATTCTACTATGATATTGCATGTTGTGGATTAAGACTTCTTATGGATCATGGATCATTTCAAAGTATGTAGTGCCACACCCCTGTACATTTTACCAACCCTGAGGGCCAAATGTTCATGCCCCAAGTTACAGCGTTCTTTGGTCAAGGTTCTGCGATCGATTTGGGTCGGCTTTTACAGGTCGGGTGGAATGTCTCTGACTGCACAGCCACAATAGCCAGCTTGTTGACGATCCAACCCTGTTGGCTAGTGAGTCATTGATAGCTCATTCACCTGAAGCCATTGTCTTACGTAAACTTAACTGCATATCCCCCATGATCTCTTCTCATCCCTGGTTCTCGTGGATTCACACTTCAGACTATAACCACCGTTGAGCAACAGCTGGTTGGATGCTGCTTCACATTACTGTAAGAATTGAGAGACATCATGAAACACCTGCATCCAAACCAAGAAGGCCAAATTGTTCTGTTATGTTCTGTTCTTACGGAATACTGTGCTTCACAGCGCGGAAAAAAGACACGTTTGCCTGGGCAAACGACGTGTGATAGCGACACTGCACAGTGTCGCAACGAACACGTCATGTATTTTGAGGAGACCCATCGAGACCCAAACAACAGCCAACAGCGAAAGCAAACCCATCCGAATCCTCAGGACGAGCATGTCTGGACTTCCTATGTTCGAAGACATCACAATTTCCTCCCCCAAACAAACCATGTTCTTTGATAAAGGTGCATCCTTAATTTCCTCCCCCCTGCTTGTATCGGAGATAACCTTCACACAACCTGTTCTGCCACGACGCTTAGACTCGGACGGACTCGGACGTGCGCGTTCCACCTGTTCGGACGTTCCGCACGTTCCACCCCAAGCAGGTTCCAAGCTGTGCGCTCCGACGAGTCCATGTTCCCAGAGCTCCTCTTGCCGAGAATCCTTCTTCTCTTTGCCCTGGGGACGGACCCGGAGAGAAGTCCAAGAGGGGTTGAAAAACCCTATGAACTATCCCACTGACTATCCCATACCCAAACGCTCCATGCATGCCATATATGCCTACATTGGGGGGGTCAATGTAGGCATATATTCCATACATGGAGTGTCTGGGATAGGTACCCAGGTTTCGTGTCCTATAAGGTCACCGAACTTCTGTTGGAATCTGCTCCTCACTGGTTGGTTCATGTCTATTGATCCCTCCAACTGGGCGCGGAAGTGCAGGGTGGGCCACACGGGTGGGTTGGCTTTGTCCCTGGTGTTGTCTCCAGATTCCTACGGCGTAGTCATAGAAAGTGTGTTTCATGGTGTTTCTCAATTCTCAAAGTGAAGAGATTCATTATGATGAGACACGGTCATAAACACCTATATATATAGTATTTAGGCAGCATATCTTCCGTTTGACCCCTCGACATGTCGACATTAATGTTGAAACACCGTGTCAACAACCATCGGAACTGATGGACCTCTGTCAACGGCGCCAACAAAAGATCGTCAGATCGTATGCTTGCTACCTACTTTTGGATATATAACTATTGGGCCTAAGTAGGTAGGTAGCCTAAGTATGAGTAGGATTGGGCTACCTACTTTTTGGTTTCAAATAGTTATATACTAACATCTCAAAGGCCACCCTCTCCAAAAGCGGCACCCAATCTATGTCCACGAGGATTTTCACAACACGCACATTTTAAAGACACGATCGAACATACGGACATAACATATATTGTATAATCATCATTATACAATTTAATCATTGTATATCCCTCTCTCTCTCATTCTTTGTCTTCCCGGTGTGCAAAACGTGCTCTTTGGTGCACATGGCCTGGTCCCAAGGGTCATTGACGATCCAGGGATCGGCCTGGTGCAAGGGCGAGGGTCCGTGAAGCCTGGAACCCGTCTCGTGTGAAGCACTGGAAGTCCTTGCTTCCCACCATGTATTGAAGTGAAAAAGGGCATTCTAAGAGACCACACCCAGTTCCAGAGTTTCTTTTGATAGCGAAAAACACGAGGACATATACAGTAAAAACACATAAACAATCATAAACACATATATGTTGACATACTCTTACTGCACGCTTGGACGCTGCACCAAGAGTCGCCTAGGTTGCATTCCACTCAGAAAAACACACACACATGTCATCCAGTCCCATGGAGTGTCTGGGATTTAGAATGATGTAAACCATGTTTAAATCAGAACGCCTTCATGGCCTCAAAAATTGCTTTTCCAGAACATCAAACGTTAAAAGCATAAAACCATCAAGAAAAAGAACACGCCTTTCTGTGGCCGTTTTCGACCAGGTCAATGAACCCATATGCTGTCAGCTATGTAGTCCCACGCCTGCCAATGGGAATGATCCTTGTCTTTGTCGTTGACCTGCGTGGCGAGCCAACTGGGGACTGCTTTTTGGAAGGCCTTTCGGGAGGCCGTTCGGCTCTTCTACAAACCCTGAGAGTCCAACTGACGATTATGATTTGGGGTCGAGCAACGGGAGTCGGAACTCCTGGGGAGCAGGAGGCGCTCTACTTTCATGTTTAGGGACTATAGTATGACGTATAGCATGAGTCAGAGGTAGTTTTGCCGGACAAGTGGCAAGGAAATGTTGCGTGAACGTACAGCGGCCTTGTCCAAGGAAAACAGCCGGCCGAACAACCCCTATGGTTGGATGATCAATGCACATGTAATTTGTTGCTCCACCTGCTGATGCCTGCTGCATCATCTGCCTGAATCACTCAGGGATGGGTCAAAACCAGGATACCTTGCTAACACGACGTGCGCTCACATTCCCTTGACACACGCTGGTGTCGCATCAGCTGGGACTTTTCAGTTTCCTGGGAGGTCGATCTCATCTACCGTTTTTTTGGCCTCCGGAGTTCGACCTGCAGCCACCTGCGATGTGGTTGAGAAAGCTGGTGAACCCTCCTGCGACATGCCTCAATTCCACAAAATGACGGAGATGCCGTTAGCGCCTTTCTCAAACCGATGTGGGAAAGGGTTGCTTCATCAATTAACATCCTTTGACCATGTTCGCCGTCAGCCAGGGGAGTCAGTTCAGGAAACTCACAATCACCCTTTCTCCGCACAACCGAGCATGTCGTCTTCATGCCGTTTGCCCCACCCCCACCCCCCGAAATCAAGGTTCCGCTCTGCTGCTCTGCTCTGTTCGTTGCGGTGTTCGGTCCATTTAGGCCCGGTTGGTGCTTTCCAACATCATTTAAACGATAGGTATCCTGGAGTAGCTCAAGGAATCATGCCAGTTGAACATTAATGGGGACATTCAAACAAGCCAATAAGAAACTGGTCTTGGATGAAATTATATCTATAATTACTTCAGGATGGTTGCATACGTCTGCAATTCACAGGATTCACAGGTTTCAAAAAATCTTTGTCGACATCCACCCCCATCAACGAGCTTTTCCTTCGTCAACTCACCTGGTTTTCCAAGCGATGGCACTTACCCCAGAAACCCAGCTGCGAAACCACAACACGTTTGCTGGAACTGACCAATGCGAAGGCCCCCGCCTCAGTGTAGGAACCGTTCTGCTTCCAGTCTTCAGCCTGCTCCTGACCGAAAACAAGGGCGCTAACGCACAAAATATGGCACCAGATTGCACCAGAAATGAGAGCTTTCCCGTGCTTTCGCTGTGCTACATCATGCTACACCCCACAGGAACCCAACATATATTACCAGCCCTTGCGATCCGATGGGTTCTACTACGGTTCTACTACAGTACTAGTTCCGCTGTGCTGCTTTTGTGAGTGTCCACCATTTGCCATTGTGCTGTTTCTTTTTGAGGAGGCGGTCACGGGGTTGCTTTTACAGGGTGCAGTAATGGAGGGCAGCTGTCCCGCCCTTTGTGGTGGTGGGCGGCTGCTGGCTCTCCCAATTAAAAGTAAACGTGTTTGGGGTCCCTTTTCATTTTTTCAGCTTCAATTCGAGGGTTTTCAATTGGCTTAATGCTAGTGCTAATTTTGGTGCATATGTTTGTGAACTTGGTGCGATTTTTCGTGCTGTCATGTGGTTCCTGGTGGTTCTTCTTGTGGGTTGCTTTATGATCTCTGGCGCGCCTTTTGCAATTGCTGGTGTTTAAACGTTCATGAAGCTCATGAGTTGTGTCTTCTGGTGCTGCTTTTTGTGCTTCGTGTTGGGCGCGGTTTGTGGTTTCTGGTTTGGAACTTTCGCACGCATGTGAAGCTTTACGGCGTGTGTGTACTTTTGGTGCTCGTTTTTTGTGATTTGCTTTGTCATTTCCAGTGCGACATTTCGTGATGGCTGGTGCAACACAACTTGTAGATGAAGCAAATGACTTGTGGGTTTTCTAGTGCGAACGGTGCCGATGTCCGATCCTTGTGCCTTGGATTTCTGGTGTGAACTTTCATGGCGTAGCGCGGTCTCACCTATTTGGACGGTCTCACCTGTCCCGGTCCAAACTTTCGTATTTCCTGGTGCAATTCTTCTTGTGATTTGTGGCAGTATTTCCTATTTTTTTGTTGCTTGGTCTGGGTGGGGGTGAGGGGACTAGGTGGGTGGAAGGTTGACTGGATTGTAAGGAAGCACATGGAGATAGGCCCAGGACACCAAACATGGAGGGCCAATTCCAGGAGGGTTCGCTGGTCCTAGTTGGAAAACAAGACATTGATAAAATGTTAATTATCCTGTTAGGGTGGGGGGCCGACTCCAACTGTATAGACAACTCTAAACCATGATTCAATACGTGATCATCCTGCTTTCCAAAAAAATCAACGCCCAACTGTTTTGGGACTTCGAACACCAACGGCTTTTTTACTGGAAGAAGACGAGCCGTCCAGGCAATCCAACTTGGTCCTCAAACGTCTAAGCCACTATGTTGGATATATATATATATATTGATGCACCACACATGAATCGTGCCAACATCATAGAGCCCAGCCAAGACTCTCGGTTTTTCATGTCTGACGCGTGTGGCATGTTCTTTTTCCCCGGATGAAAAACATGAAAGGGAATGAATCATCGTCATCAGAAATTGCGTGTCGCGCCATAGCATAAAATGCCGTTCTCGAAGCCCAAAGACCATCTGTACAACTACCCGTAACTACGCATTGGACTTTGGTCCTCATGGAGGATCTTGCTATAACTTAAGTGCTCGAAGGCAGGGTCCCCAAAGTGGCGCAACAGAAATCCTGTTCTGCATCCCGCAAACATCTCCATGAACATCAAGTTAGCGGATCTCTGCAAAAACTCTTCTCGCAGGAAAAAACCGCGTTCATCTGCAGTCACCAACTCAAAGAAGGAGCAAAACAATTAACGTCATCCTTCGCGTCCTGTTCTCCGTCCCACCCACCCCAGGCATCCCCGCGCCTTCTTCCAGGGGTCCTCCTTCTGTAAGGGGTCCTCCTGCTTCCAAGGGTCAGTGTCAATCCAGGGGTCCTCTTTCCAGGACGACTCTGACTCTGCCTGGCGAGGCATCACACGATCTCAGGACGGAGTCGTTGGAGAAGAAAACGGACGCAAAGTTCAGGCAAAATTCTGCCTGGAACTTCAATCGAGCACCAATAAGTACTAAGTGTCTAAGATTTCTGGTTGTTCAGGCAAAGTTCTTGCATTTTTGTTCCATGGAGAGCGAAGACAATCAATCATGCTCAAGGACAACCGGAATCTCCCACCCCTCTGTCAAGAGTTGCGTGCAGGCACTCCAACATTTTACCTTTTGGGCACACGGGGTGGGGTGCTATTTGTTTTGGTTCGGGGCAATTTGTCTCCCAAGTTTGTCTCATGTTTGTGAAAACGACCTTTGCGAAACATCACTCCTGTGCAAAGGTTGAGCTATGTTACAGCTGTGTTGCAAGCAATCTTGGCTTCAAAAAATCTGGATTCCACAAGAGCTTAAAACACAAACATGTACTGTCTTCAAAAAATCTGGAGGTGATGGGTCCTAGCAATAGCATGCAATAGCTGTCCATTTTCAGTACACCTGTAGTAAAATATCTTATCTTCAACTGTCTTCCCCAAGGATTCCACTCCGCACCTGCCAACTCCGGCCGTTCTCCGCAGGGGCCTGCGCAAATATAACAAGAACATCCAGCACCACCCAAAGGGTGGTTTAGACCCGCCTGAAGATGTATTTTCCATCTAATAACCACCCTTTGGGTGGTGCTGGGTACAAGAACTATAAAACAACTCAGATCTGGGAACCCAAAAAGAGCCGAAAACGGGTCCAAAAAGAGCCGAAGGGAGGCCACTCAGTAGAGGCCTCCCGATACGTTGAGATTGTCAGTAACTATCTTTGTGATACGGTTTCCTTCTCGTTCAACGCGTGGACGATGATTGGTCTTTCGCAACCGCCAATGAGGGAATCCGCATACAAAGACGGTTCCGAGTCGTAAAGCTTCACATCCATTCACGTGGGTAAGCCGTTGGTTGGGGTGAGAAGCAACACAACCTTTAGCTCGACCACAGTTTGCTTGCTCACAAACAAAGCAATATGAGATTTTGACCCCTCAAAGCCCCAGGGCCCCATGTTTGAATCCAATATGCCAGCGAGTCAAAAAGGAACATGCAGCATCTGATGACGTCCACATCTCTCTATACCTGACCTGGGCTAGGGGTGTCCATTAACCACCGGGGGGCCCTGGTATTCTCGTTGCCTGAACTGCAATCCGGCCGACCAAAACACCAAGCAAGCACATTTGAACCAGCTTGCCATCCCAAAGCAGCGGCGCAGCGGGTTGTCTGGGATTGTGCGCCTTTTTTTCACCTATATCCCGAATCCACGTATACCTCGCCATGAGTGTAGTACTGAAAAATGCAACTAGGCTGCCACATTGACATATGCAACCCGCAACCTGCACTAGCTGAAGAGGCCTTCTGGTCTTTGCTCCCTCGAGTTCCTCTCCTTTTGCCCTTTCCCTGACAGCGGGTTCGCGCCACGAGGATGAGTATGGGAAGATTAGATGTGCGACTGCTTCCTGCTCCTGTTGCCAAATGTGAAAGCCATATACAGCAATGCGACATACGGTTAGTTAACATCTTGCAACGTAAGAAGGCACAATAACAGGCAAAACTCCGCAACCCACGGCATCTTTTCTCCAAACATCGAGCTAAAAGCTCGAGCTTGCAACTCGTGCGTCTCCCCCTGACACCCGAGTTGGCCTCGAAGTCCGAAAAGGTGTCTCGTTCGTCCGGTGATGTGGTGATGTGGGTCACCGGGGAGCCCTACAGACGACGCATGAACAGACGAACGCAAACATGGGTCAACCTATAGGACCGGAACCTACCAGGGTGAAACAGTCTCCTGTGACCCATGGCGCCACGTGGAAGCAAGGGTTCTTCATTTCAAAAGCCTGAGTCAGGGGGTGTCTCTTCTTTCAACGCGCTCATCGCTCGCTCTCACACCGCGAAAGCGCGCGAAAGGCCTCGCCCTTCAACCTGTCGTGGGTGAACAGGCGACTGGAGATAAGGTGGCCCTCGCGCCCCCGGAGTTGGGAGAAGCTCTACCAATAGAGGGTGACCCAAAAGAATCGCAGTCACATGGTTGAGGTCCCCCCCGAAAGACATGGGGCCGCCCGCCCATGTCTTTCCGTTTGACACGCACTGAGACAGCGGTTCACTGCTGAACTGACCCGAAAAAAAGGTGAGCGGTTTGTAGCGGTCGGGCGGATGGTGACGACCCCGCGGTGACACCAAAAATCACGTCTCCAAGCAAATGCGTGTACACACTCCAAGAAATAAAGACAAGAACTAATAAATAAGGACAATGGTCCTTGTTCCTACCAGGACCCTCCAAGGGGTGCCCAATGGAAGCATATAGGTAGTGTGGGGTAGTTCATTGGACACCCCTTGGAGGGTGCTGGTATACTTCTGTTGTCTTTTGGGATGGGCTCTGTCTTGACGGCGGGCCCATATGCGGGGCCCAGACAGAAGGGACACGGTCTCTTGGCCCAACGGCCCGGTGTTTTGGGCGGCGAACAGGCAACGGCATAAAACGAAGGACAAAGGCCGTATGGCCCCCACACTCATAGAACTGGCAAGCACAAACATTTGCCATATGCATGAAAATGCCCAGTTCAACCGTGTTATATCCCAGACACTCTATGTATGCCATATATGCCTACATTGGGGTGGTTTCAGGGGTCAATGTAGGTAAATATGGCATACATGGAGTGTTTGGGTATATATATATATATACATGTCCAAGTGGCGTCCGTTGGATCCGTCAAAAGCTCCGAACCACATGGCTTTTTGTAGGACCCAGATCCGGCAGGGAAGTTCTGAACATCCGTCTGAGACTCACAGCGTCCCATGTGCCCACCAGTCTCCCACCAGTCATGTGCCAACCAGTTCAAGTGCGGATGCTCATGCGCACCTAGCTCGAGCCCCCAATACTAAACTAGAGTCAGACTATACTTTAAAGCCTGAGTTCTACATGTCCATCACCCTAATCCTACGTCGGCATTACAAGGTTTCGAAGCCCATACCTTCGGTTTCGAAGCCCATACCTTCAGATTGCAGGAACTGTTCGCAGATTCGTTCAGGACCATGACTATGACTAAACGTTGGTGCGTGGTCGTCCAGCCTTTCACTGGCACCGCGCCGTCCAGCCCCACCTGGGTGGAGTCTCATCGAAAACAGCTTCAAAGCTTTCAAATTCAAATCCTGAAGGCACGGGTTCCATCCGGTGGGGTCGGTGCCGCAGCGCGCAGAAGGCGGGCACTGTCTCGGCGGAGAGGAGGCCAGTTATTGTTGAGGGGAGATGGCTGGAAATATAGACCAATCTGTAAACAGGCATTTACAGGAACGAAAACTTGTGAAGCTACCTGGACCTTCTTTCGGGGTGTCCTGTCTGGAGATCCCTTAATAGTGAAGGGCCTTCCAGCCAGGTGACCCCGACATGAAGGTGCTGGCACATGTCATGCAACTTGGGATGAAAATTGCACTTCAACCTGGAATTCGGAGTCTCTGAGAACGAACCACGCCAAGTCTTGGGAGTGTGTGACCGTCCTCAATGAACCGCACGATGTGCGATGTAACAACTCTCCGTTTGACAGCTCAAGGACCTACTCTAGCAAGTGCTTAGGGAACTCCTGTGAACTCCCTAGCCATCCCTAACCTACACACATCCAAAATGCTTCTACTCCACTCTCAGAGTCATTAGCTTGGAAGGGAAAACCCATTCGTTTGTTTGTAGAGAAAAAAATGGTCTTCCAGATGTCTATGTTCCACTTCCATGATGACTTCAGGAAGTGTAGATGCCTTTTTGGCTCGCTCCCTCACAATCAATCGGGGTGCTAGCTCCTTCACAACCTGGCATTCTGCATTCTGCACTTGTACATACATCTGACCACCCATGGGACTGAATATAGTTACATACCAACAATTTAAGATGACCCATACATGGATGGTAACTCTTCCGGTCCCATTCGGCTCAATTGCTCCAAGTCACCATCGTCCTTTCTCGACTCCGGAACATTCACACCTGCTGGAGGTCTGGAAACACGAGAATTGATCTGTCAAAGCAAACTGATGAACTCTGAATGCCAAAGGGAGCCATATACCCAATATTATATATATATATATATATGGCTAACTGTTTAACATCTGTTCGCCCAATCACCACAAACAAACACTATATATGTTAGTATACGATATGCGAGTGGATCTTAATCAGCGAAGTTTGAAGCTATCACTGACGGTCCATAAGCGGCGTAGCGTCGGAACGGAAACCGCACCTTTTCTAGTCGCTTGATCCTTGAGCCAAAGTACATATGGTACATATATATGTACAAGTTGCACTGTACGTGTCGCTGCACTTCCATTCGCACCCCCCATGTGAACGGCAACAATATGTTCCGATCACACACGAAAATTTAGGGATGTAAGTGCTACAAAAGAAATTGTATGATTTGCCGCGAGACTCATATGAGGCTCATACTACGAAACATGCTGGACTAAAGCGGACTTTTACATATAAAGTGTGCAACTATGGCTCAGAACCTATGAAAATCGAATTGAACAAGTGAGACAGTCACGAGGCCTCGCTCATTATCCACTCAAAAGAGCATCGCTTTGATGTAGATCCGAACTGGTGACTTCCACGTAGATGTCGCATCGGCAACTGACTTCACACTTCTCAAAAGATGTAGGTTTTGATTTGGATACACTTACAGAACGGCAAGTCGGAGAGACAGTCGGTGACTGTCTGCCTTCCATTATGCTCATGGTATCAAATCGTCAATCCGATGATTTGCAATGATACACTTACAGCGTTTCAGGTCAGATAGACATCCGGTGAATGACTTCCTCCCTGGTTTGCATGGTATCCTCATAGTCGTTCAAAGAAATCACCACTGGCGATAACCTCTCCATCCACGATGATCCCAGCTGCCCTGAGCATCCCGCCGATCATCTTCTCCCTTCTTGGACTTTCCCTTGGACTTGCTCTTTCCCCTCCCCTTTTCAGAAGGTTGAGGTACTTCGCGACGTTCTTGCGTTAGCGCCGGCCTCCAAGATGTTCCAGATTGGCCTCCTCCTTTGGAATGTCCTCGGGATGATGAAGAAGTTGTACCTTCTGCTGCATGTGCGTTGGCGGCAAGATCTTCCTGCAAAGCTTGCTCAAACACATCGGTAGCACTGGATGGTGATTTATCATGTGGTCTGGCTTTTGGAGCAGCCTTCGCCTTGCTCTCCTCTGCTGATGAGGGCCCGAAACTCTTAGGTGCTGTTGAAGGTTTTGGCTCCTCACTTGGTGCTGACGACGGCTTGGCCTCGGTTCTGGGTGTAGATGCTGGCTTTGCCTCAGCTCTTGACGAAGATGCTGCTTTCGCTTCAGACTTAGTCGTTGATGTTGACTTAGCTGTTGCCTTGGCTGCCTGCTTCTTCTTGCCCTGAATTTCCTTGGCCCTATCTCCAAAGCCTAGACGATCGGTAAGAGCTTGAACATGCTTCTGTTCTACCACGCTCATCCATCTCTCTGTATGTCCAATGTTGGGATTTCTGGCCATTGACTCTACGACATTCTGAGCGTGTGGGGGCAACCTGATCTCATGTTGATCAATGATCAGCAGAATAGACTTCTCCCATTTGCTCTTCATTCTCGAGTACATGATGTCCAGAGGATCGATCACCTTGTGGTTGGGTGATGTAACGTCGGTTCTAAAGTAAGAATATGTCCGACAACCATAAATCGCATGGATGCACTTCTGTACCAATTCAGTCATTGCGCTGGCTTTCTTCGCTTTCAACTCCTCAAGCTGGACGTCAGTCAAGTTGGTGGAGTATTCGAAGTTGCCATATTCCTTCTTGAAGGAGTACGGAGTATGACCAAATGATAGGATCACGAGTGCCACCTTGCAAATGAATTGCTCTCCTCTGAATCGGTGCCAGGCCTCCTCAATCGTAATCTTGTTTTCGTTGGCAAAGATTCTCATCATGTCATCTGTTGGATCCAATGGTCTCCCATCGTCATCGATTTCAGTGAAATCCTCTGTACCGAACTTGCTTATCACATCCAGACGCTTCCTTTTCCAATTTGCTTTGAAGTCGGTAAGGCTGGTGCAATAGTAGCTCTTGTACATCAGGGAGATCATGTTCAGCACACATTTGACCACATACCTATCCATCAAACCCGATGCATTCATGGAGACGTCCTGACAGTAGGCTCTCTCTTGATGCGCATAGATTCGAGGTTCCGGTACTCGACAATAGATGGGGAGATCTTCGTTGTCTCTTCCTTCTTCGGGATTGAACTCGGTCGCTCCATGCTGTGCATAGTATCCCGGTTCATCACGATCTGTCGGTCGATTCGCCTCCGGATGTAAGTCGTCGGTGACGTCTTCATCCTCGGGCTCACCATCTTGACGTTTCTTCCCCTCATATTGTTGTGTGCTCCTCTGGATCTCGATGATCACGTTTCGTTCGTCTTCATCTTCTGGATCAGAATCACGATCGTAGTCGATCTCGTCCTCATTGAAAGATGGGGTCTCGACATTGTCACTCTTGAAGTTTTCTGCACCATCAGACGGTTTGGAAGGATCTAGATTGTCCATGTCCTCGTCGTCGTCAGCTGCTTCAGTTTGAGCGATGTCTTCTTCCCAAGCCTTTCTGATCTCGTCCATAGTGGCCTGGTCCAAGATATCTTGATCATCATCTTCAGGCTCCTTCTCTTCCTTCTTTTCCTCTTCATCGTCGCTCACAAGATCAACGGGTGAATCGGAAATGACAGTGTTGCGAATACCACACGAGAGTAGCCTGCCTTGACAAGATAGACACACGGACAAAGATGAAGAAGTCAAATGCATACATGATGGACACAAAATATTGCCATCCACGTTGCGATACCCTTCACATGTTCTGGAGATGATTTCGTCCCAAGTTTCCTCACTGATGGAATCCTCGATCAGCTCTCCATTGTCATCGAATTGTACTTCATCGATAAGGGACACGAGCTTTTGGACGTTGTCATCTGTCGCCGAGGCTGACTTCGTGACTTCGTCGGCTCTCTCGAGGATGGTATGCTTCTGAGCAACCCAAAGTCCATGACGTGCCGCTAGAACAACTTGCTCTCCAGTGCTTCCCAGCAGGAGTCTCCTCCATGCCTGAACGTAGTCGTCCCAATACCAAGCACCTCGTACACATCTCCATGGAACTTCTCTAAAACAACAGTGTAGGAATTCTCCGAAATTCTTCCCACAAGCTTCCTCAAAGTCATGATTGGAACATAAAGGCAAACGGGCATTCCCACTCTTGGCCATCTTGATCTCAGAATCTTTGATGATCGATCATCCCACGGCGCAGCAAAGTGGTTGAAGAAAACACTACCTCTATATCCCTCCGTTCCACCAGGGACAATTCCTAGTTTCATGATTGACTCAATATTGGAAAGCGATGTCATGTGAAAGCTTCCTCCAAGCTGCATTGCCACATTCTCTGGAATGAGATGTGAAGTCCACACAGGATATATTGACACATCCTCTTCAAGAACAGTCTCTCTTCCAGAATTGTGAGAGGCAACAGCTCGAATTGCACAAGGAACGATCCAACGTTCATGCTTCAGAAATGACGGTGCATCTGTGCTATAATACATGAGGTTTGCCCAGTATTGCCTTTCCTCTTCGAGTGAGACATCCTCCCTTGAGATACGAATGGCGGCAATCTGATAGCGTACTCTGTTCTGCAACTTCTTTGCATGCCACATCGCCTTGCATAAATACTGGTATCGCTCTGTCTTGACATCTTGACGATGCCGATCACCTGAGATAGTACTGATATCGACACCATCGTTGAAGACATGGTCATATTCCAGGATCTCATCGATGTTCACCCATCCACCCTCATTGCACTTCGGGGACACATGAGGTTTTCGACCGCGGTGCGATTGAATCCCATTATGCCTTCCCACTCCATGCCTGAGTAGTCTATTGAGTCTATGGCTAACCTCGTTGACCCGCTGACTCTCCTCGCTGAACTTGTCGATGCGAGTTGCTGGGTTCATCTTTGGTGGATCCGTGAAAGTTGCATCTCTCTTCGGTCCATTCCAGTACTCCACATAGAATGTAACTCCATACTGTGGAATTATCTCGATGCTTCCTCTATCGCAAGTCACCTCAATCTGCCGATATCCAACCTTTTGAACTTGTTGTGGGTCAGGAGCAAGGTCCTTCACTTTGGGCATCTTTATTCCGAGTGCTGCAGCCTCCTGGATAAGTGCATCAAGTTCCCACTTTCCATTAGGACCTGATCTATCAACCCTGTGATTTGCGACCCTGTACTCTCCTCCTTCTTTGTCATCGGCAATGTCAAAGAGGTCGACGGGCTCTTTGAATCTGGTGACGAAACTGGCGTTCCCAAAGGCCTTCTTGGTTGCCTCGACCGCTTTCGCGTATTCCTCTTTTGCAGAGTCTGACGAGTGTGGTCTACCTTTGGCTCTCGGAGAGTGAGGTGGTACCTTACCTCCTAGTTCCGGCTCTTCTTCGGGAAGTTCAATATCTTCATCATCCACATCCATGTAGTCCTCGTCTTCGACGTCTCTGGATGACTTTGCTTTCCTCTTTCGGCTTTCAACATCACGTCGGATGATTGCCTTGTCGTCCTCGGTGAAGCACTTGCGCATAGTGTCCTCCATGTGAGAGAATGAGTTCATCAATTCGTCCTTCTTCTCAGTGTTGGGACAAATAGCCAGGTGATGTTGGTTTGAACCACAACAATAGCACACCTTTTGGCTCACTGCGCGTGCTCTGACCCTTCTGAGGTTGTCATAGGCGGTTTTCCAGTTGGAAGCGGTTGCTGTACCTTGCCCACTGCGCTTGGCAGCTCTTTTCCGTTCTTCAGTATCTGGATTCGATGTCGGGTAGTGCGACCATGTTTTCGTCGGGGATACTGAACGACCTTCCCCATCCTTGTAGTCTTGCGGATCAAGCTCAGGCGTAGGTGGTTCAGGCTCCTCGACTCCTGGAGTGGTACTCGCAGGGTCGGCTTCGCCATCCTTCATCTCTACATCAGGCTCTTCCGTAGACGTTCTTTTGGGCTCTGGGGCTATGGCCAGTCGTACCATTCTCCTGAACTCTGGTCTGGTAGCATACCTGGACATGACGGCATCGATACAGGCTTGTTCTTCAGCTGTAACATGGAGCCCTGAAGGTTTATTCCTCTTGGTGTTGTCATTGATTGATTTTCGGCTCGCTGCATAGAAGTGAAGAAAAG